CCAGATAATGTACATTCTTTAAACATGGCTTCAGATTCTAAAGAGACTGTTGATCGGCGTTGAAGTTTTCCTGGTTTTATTTTACTTTATTATATTTTATTTTGCTTTTCTTTACTTGTGTTATACCTTGTTTAAAGGCTGTAATTTCACAGATGATGAGTTTATCACTCACAACATACGCAGATGTACCACAAACCGATGAAGATCATGAAGACTTCTTTTCCTATTTGTTAAATGAAGATGAAGTGCAACTAATTATGTATTAACTAAAAATGTGAAAGACAAGTAGTTGCTTACTGATGACTATGATGTAGACTCTGATACAAGTGTCTAAGTTGCCTATAAAAATCAGCAAATGCATTTTATGACGAACTAATTGAAAATACATGTTGTAAGAAGTTATGTTCTGATAAATGATATGTGTTTTGCTGCACAATTCAAATCTGCTAAAAACAGAAGGGAATGTTGAAAGATTTTGAATTATATTACTTTATTATCTTTATTCAACTGTGATAATTGTTTATGTTTAAGCCTTATTTGAATTTTGTAGTAATGCCTGTACATAGCGTGTCAGCAAATTCTTTAGCTGGAACAAAGTGATCACATGAGGAAGTTGCTCAAGACAACACCCACATGTATTGTTTTAACCCACTACAAGATCGTTAATCAACTTGTCCATCTTTGTCTTGCAAGGCTGCATCCTGTGCAGCCTCGTATGCAATCACCAGATAAGAAGTTGTTTTTTCCTAACTAGTACTCCACCCATGAGTGTTACGTGAGTATATAATAAAGTCTTACCAGATGCCTGGGCGCATTCCTGCACAGGATTCGCCCATGTACATGAATTAACTCTGGGCCCGTGATTCTTTGCTTTCCTGAGGTTTTTCTCCTAACAGTCCCAATAACACATCTCACTACTAAAAGATTCTGACACCCCATTATATCTTGGAAAATAATAAGTCAACTAAGTGCAACTTCCAACTCAAGCAATAACATTTTTAAAAAGTAAGAGTAGGAAGCAGCAATAAATCAAATGTGAGGCAGAGAACATATTTCTGTAAGTTAAGCTAAAGCATTTGATAGTGAACTCTTTCTGTTCCAATGGAATGTGGATGATTCAGAAATCCGTGAGTAATGGTATTATGCTTCCAAGTGCAGCTAATTACAGTAGTATAATAACACATCGCTAGTATTAGCTTCTTAGCAGTTAATTAGATAGAGGGTACTCACACATCTTTAACAGTGAAGGCTAACATTTTATCAAAACAAAGCTATTCAGTAAGCTTTTCACCTCTCTGAATATTTTTATGGCTACCATCAGATAGGATTTTAGAGCTTGCAGTTCTTATTGTATACTAGTGCTGACTAGCTAGCTTGTTGAGTTGAAAAGCAGCAGCCACTTGTCACTCAAATTGGTCACCACTGAAATTTTATTATACAGCTGTGTAAAATTTTGGCTCTAGAGACAAAAGGCTTTTACACTCAGGATGCAATAATCTGTAAGAATATTGTTTTTCACGCTGACCTTTTCTTATTACAGCTGTTCAGTGCAATTCATACCACAAATTTGCAGCAACTATTTTTTTTTCAGATCAATCATGATTTTTTGATGATCTTCCACATGTAAATAAACAGAGCAGACTGATCAGATTCATTTGACAACAAGCATGCTTGTAGCTTAAAACTTGGCCTGTCGGCTCTCTGAAATTATTTCTCTGTCTCCACAGATGTGGTCCCAGTTCTGCAATGAAATCTTCAAATATGTATAAAAGCGGCCGTGATACAGCGTCGGCTTCCCGGATCAAACCATGATATTCTCTCTGTTGCTGCCATCTTCTGAGAATATAATGAACCACAAATCTCTTTCCTTAATTTTCTTGTTTAGAAACATCAGGAACACTTCACTGCTTAACATCAACTGAACTTTTTTAAAGATGAATTTTTCCAAAAACACAAGGCTTTTGGTGTGGTGTTTGATCTGTTACACGAGACGTTTGCATCTGAAAGGTGATGTTCTTGATATGTAAAGCCCTCAAGACAATTGTTTATACCAGGCTAATCACTGTTAATCACTGTTGTAAAAAGCCAGGCATTTTAGCATAGGAGTCTATAGGGACTGACTCACTTCCTCGCCAGTAGAGAAACTGCATTTTTTGTCCCTGCGATAGTTACATTTTTCATCCCTAGAAATTGACAGTTGGTTACTTTTAGTAACCAGTGATTCCTAACTTAGGTTTATTGAAAAAACAATTCCATATAAGGTTTCCATTAACAGTGAGTGCTGCACTAGTTCAAAGATTTACTGGATACTAGAAGTGCTTTGTGAGTAAATGCTTTTGTGGATGCTGAGGCAAAACTGTTGAGTCATAGCTATTCATTCTAATGTATTTCCCAAAATCAATACAGTACTGGACTTTGCAATGCTCTATGCAAGACTTTAAATTAAGGCTTAAATATTTAGGCTGAAGTAAATATGGCAAATTCCAAATTACACAAATTCCAAATGAACCCACTGACCTGAAATATGTGCAAAATGGACTGGTTCTTATATAGCACTTTTCTACTCTGTCTGAGCACTCAATACAACTAATTCATTCACTTTTTCTAAGCTGTAAGTGCTCACTATCTAACATTCATACTCCAATGGATGCATCGGAGGGCAACATGGGGTTAGTATCTTGCCCAAGGATTGAACCCCCAACCTTCCAGTTAATAACTGACCTGCTCTACCACCTGAGCTACAGCCACCCCAGACAGACAGAAGCACATTTAGATGCTTTTACACATCCCACCAATGGTCAAAAACATGCAGGTAACATACGCAACGTGTGACCGCTTTCACCCCGTCAGAGGCATAGTGACTGTCTTCGAGACTTGTGATCTGAAGCTACTGCAGCTGTGCTGCACAACGTGAACACATCCTGTGACAAGACCTATGATTAGTGCTTACAAGGATTACCACAGAACAGGAAGTGGACTGTCTGTGAGAAGTTTTCCATGCATCAATCTTGCATTTTTTTTACATAATAGAAATACATGACTCATTTTAATAAATGACTTCATTAACTGTACACAGTTGGTCATGACAGAAACAATCAGCTACTGTTTAGGATGTTGTGCGTGTTTTGTGTGTGTGTGCTTGAAACTGTTATGTAACAAGGTGCGTGCATACACTACACGGGTAGGATGTTTGTGGCAGACAACATTAGACTGTAACTACTATCCAAATTTAAGTAATGCACATAAGCAAACATGCATGGATAGACACACACTAGCAAACAAACAGTGAGCACAAACACACATGCTTGCACCTGCACATGGTCTTATTAACCAGCGAACACACACAAACATTTACCCAGCACCTGTTGCTGCATATCCTCGTGTCACTGCTCACTGGGAGAAAGAGACTCTGTTTGGATTCAGTCGCGCTGAACATATCACTCACAATAGGCAGCAATGATTATTCCTGTAGATGTTTATTGAGTTTATTGCTAATGAGTGAAGAATGGCAGGACTGCCGAATGAGCTCATTCTTTGTGAAAAGAGAACTTACAAATAGGAGTCTTTGTAGCTTAGGGTTCTGTGTTTGTTTTCAAGTGTTGCAAGAATATCTGGGGTTTTTTTTAGAGTGTTTGAGGTTAAACAGTACTGAAATATGCCATTAGCTGGGGTCGCCATTCAGCAGTACCGATAATTTTATGTCATTAGCACTAATCAGTAAGCACTAATCTAATAATTTAAATAAAAAATAGATGGATGCAGTCAATAAATTAAGTGGAGTAGGTTTTTTTTTTTATGTTGCTATTGATTGACTGTAGTCTGTCTTATTAAATTAATAAAATGGGTTACTCTTTTAGACATTCAAATAGTGCCAAATCACAGCAACACTTGCCTCAAAGCGCTTTATATTGTAGGGTAAAGACTCCCAACAATCATACAATCCCCTATGAGCAAGCACTTTTCAACAGTGGGAAAGAAAAACTCCCTTTTAACAGGAAGAAACCGCCGACAGAACTAGGCAAGCTCAGGGAAAGATGGCCATCTGCCATTTCATATTTTAATGCCAATTAAAGTATGGATTTTTTTAGTTGGCATACACAAACAGAATTTGTTCTCATTTCTCAATCTATCCCTAACCCTACTAAAGCTGAACCCTAAAGGCCACCTAGTGAAAAAATGTCACGGAATCCCGAAATTTTGGATGCAGATTTGTTGGGTAACATATAGAAACATCAGCAGCATTGAGTGTTTATGAAAAATTTGTCCTCGAAAAATAAAGCACTGTGAAAAAATGTAAAGTGATGATGAGCCGGTACTGAAAAAGAAAAAACAGAGATTCATGGTTCATCCAATTCTCACAAGAAGGCAGCACCAGGGAGAAGTTCATGGTTTGATCCAGGAGTTAAAGCTATAAAACTTTTGTGCATATTTTTGGATGTCAGTGGGTCAGTTTGAGCGTTTCTTGACAGAGTTGGGACCACAACAGGTTCTAACTGATTCTATCTGATCACGGGTCTGATGTAAAATAGTAATATTTAACTATTTCTATATCGTTGTATGTTCAGTACCAATGTACGTTTGAACTACGAGCGCACCAAATGGTCTCATTGGTCAGATCTGTTTTTTGCATCCAAACAATCTGAAAAATCAAGTATGATCCAAAAAAATTAATTCCACAAATTCATCCTGTGAAAACACACAGTTTGTACTGCATTAAAAAAAGATGAGTGTGAATAATATTCACACACGACTTGTTTACACAACTCTTCTCTGGGAACTGGTGGATGGCCACTAGTTAATTTAGAAAATGCTTCAAAATAACTGCTCAAGCAAGTTAATTAGTTGTCATGATATTGTTAATGGCTGGATTCCATTTAACATCACCGCAGAACAAAATGGAAAATTACATAATTAAAAGTGTTTAATTTTTTTTTTTCGTATGTCACTGCCATCTTTGCTAATGTCTGACTGTTCACATGCCATGCCTCTCTCTTAAACTGTCTCTGGTATCATACAAGGTGAATTTCTTGTGATATCATTCACTATTGGACAATGATTTATAATCTCATGTTTTGAAGCATCAGGCTGAGTGTTTTCACAGTAACCATTCTGGTCTTTTGAAACCAGATGTGATGAGAAAGGGGCGTGTCATAAATGCACAATTTACTGAGCCCATAAGTTAAGTAGGAAAGTGTTTCCATGGATAAAGTCAGAAAGCCATTTTCCTATAGACTTCTATAAGATTCCATTGCAAGTTTTTTGCTAAGCATCAAACCTTGGTAGCCAATAAACAGAAAACGTGTTTAAGGCACTTTGCATTGGCTTTACTTTTTATACATTTTAGAGATTTTACTTTTACATTGGCTGTGGTCAAATCTGTTGTAAAGAAGAAAAAAAAAGCATAAAAGCTAAAAAGTGAAACCCAAAACCTGAGCATGTTTATTAATGACCAAACCCAGGATGTGAAGTTGTATCTGTACTTTACATCATCCATTACAGACTATTAGCCCACTAGTCTAATGCAATACATTGTAAAACATTGCATTACCTAGCAGTTGTCTGTCTCTATTTTCCAACAGGCAACATGACATGACACAGGCAACTGGCAAATTCAAAGCAACAACTAAAGTTTCATGCAACAACTCGGACTAAACCTGATCTCACTTTTGTTGGGACACTTTTTTTTTTTTTTAAAAATGCATAAATAGATATATAATAGACAGAATGCAGCTGACAGTGTTTGTAGCCCAACACGTGTAAGGTCCACACAAATCAGTTCTTATGGAGATAATTAGATGACACCATTAACATCACACAGACAGACCCTTGCATAGAGGTGTAGCCATGCAGTAGTGTTAAGTATAAATTGTGTGTTAGTCCTGCCAGCATGCTCCAAACCTTTTATATTGCATTGCAGTAGATCATAGCAGACGGTACTTTTTAATTGCTTGTTTGAAACTCCTAGTGGAGATGTTAAATTGTTATTACCCCTTAGTCACATGCATTACCCACTGCAGTAAAGCAGAGGTTTAAAGCTTTAAATTGTTTGAAAATAAAAATCAAATATAACATATAATCATGGCAAAAGCTTTTTTTTTCAAATAAATTATTTTTTTAAATGCTATAAATACACCAAGCTCCAAGCTATGAATTCCATAAAATTGCCCTGATGAAATAAGTATGATGTCTGCCGAGGGAAACACTTCACTCTTTGTTAGCACAAGTCAACATGACTGGCAGGAGACAAAGGCACAGTCTCATCTGCCCGGAGGCTGGAATGATGACACTAACTATATTAAAATGCATGAAAACATCAGCTCATCCATCCCTAAAACTTGAGTGATGGCCATAATAATAATAATAATAATAATAATAATACTTTTTAAAATGAAAATCAAGTGGAATTGTAAAACATTTGTAAAACAACCATTACTTTTTTTTTTTTAGTTTTAAATTATTTAATTATTTGTTTGTGTGTTTAAATATCTAGAGGCATATTCTTTATCAGCTGTGAGAACTCCGCTGACTGACATTTTAATTGTTCGCAGTGCAACAGGGCTAAACAACAAACTGTTGTCTCGTGACACAGTTTTCAAACGTTGAACTGAAAAAATAATAAATGAGTGAAAAAATAACGAAATAAATTCTTCACGTGTCAACTCTTAAAGAAATTTGAATAATTCATTTTAAGTGGAATCAGAGCAGGGGGCAAAAAAAACAGGCACTGGCCCTTTAAATGAAGAACCTGCTAGAGGAGTACTTAGAATAAAGAAAGAAAAACATGCACGGAGGTGAATTGAAATGGGATGTACTCACCACTGCGGATACACACATGGCAGGCATGGTCCTCGTTTAGAGTATACAGATGAAGGTCGAGCAGAGGTCCAAGGTGACGGCCTGAGAAAGACTTCTCATCTATAGATGTTAGTCATCATCATCATCATCGTCCTCCTCAGTTTACCGGAGGATAGAAGCTGAGCCCGGCTCTGAGCAGCGACAGTCTCCACTGCAGTGTTTTATAGTCTGTGTCTCCAGGTGAACCGGTTTTAGATGCGAGGTGAGGGTCTGCTTCACAGACAACGCTGTGGTAATTCCCATAGCGATGATGGATGGGGGCATACACCGGGACCGCCGCCTCGCCCTGTCCTGGCTTGTCAGCGTGCAGTGCGGCTCTCCGTCCGCTCTGCAGACCTCCACAGACACTGCTGACGTAAGCGAGAGGCGGGACTTAGCGAAGGGCTGTCGGCCAATCCCAGCCACGAATGAGTCGTGCACGTGTATTGAACCTCGCTTCTGGTTAGGAAAACAGGGGTTGCAGTGGAAGTGAGTCAAGGCTGTTACCAACAATGTCAAGACAGTGTCCTCGGTGTGCGGTGAGTGTATAAGACAACAGTCTGCTGTTATGTAACATGCTTTAAAAGACAAGGCGTTCTGCTGTATTAGTCACAGTAAAAACGATACCCGTTGTAGCCAAGTTAGCCCTAGTGTGCCCATGTACAGTCATGGTGTCACAGCCTTAACCAGTATTTTTTTCTGGAAAAGTAAATGAAGATGCTTAAATTTATGTAATGCTAGACAATTACAGTTTCGGCCACAGCTGTTCTCAAAGTGTCTCTCAAATCTACTGTCCAGCTAGATGGGTAAATTCTCTGGGAAAAATTCTCTAAAAAACTCTGGGACTAATAAAGGCTAACTTATCTATCGTATGTTTTGAAATGATAAACGAATAGTTTTTCTTGTTTTTATAAACCTGCGATTCTGTGTTCGGCCAAACAAAGAAAAATGTCTCCTCTCAGCTGTAAGTACAGAGTATGCCACGTTTGGAGGCTCCTTAAAGTGTTTTTAAATTGTGTATTTAAATTACACATGATTACAAAAAACCCAACTTATTTACGGTGTAAGGAACACTTAAACTGCTCCTTTATACAAGTATTTAATCATTTAAGGCATGTAGACATGATCTAGACAAGCTCTTCAAGTTCAAACAGAGCATCAGAATTAAAGGTGATTTAAGTGAATTTGAAAATGGCACAGTTGTTGGCAGAGATGGGCAGTAACGCGATTCGATTACTTTTTTCAGGTAATGAATGGATAATATAACGAGTGTCGGAGATAGTATGACTGTGCAGCATTTAAAGCATGGAAGTACTGACCTTACTTTGAGTTTGATTCTGTAAAAAGTGACAAAAACATTAGCGTCTGCTGTGCACTGCGTGGGAAGAAAACGTCTTTACTTTTCTACAGCGAAAACCCCCCTAAACTTCCAAGGAGCAAGCACCAAGTGCACTGCCACATGGAAATGTGAAATGCACAGAGAAACTCCCGGATCCTTCCACTGAAATGACCGCTGCACCAGGGCAAACCTCCGCCTGCCCCACTCTTGCTAAACAGGTAAAAATAGAGCAACAGGACCGCTGAGTCTTTGATTTTATTTATTTTCTGCTGTTTTACTTGCATCTATTTTAAAGAGTGAGTGTAAACACAAAAAACTATTTTACTTTATATGCTAGAATATGCAGAAAATAGGTTTAAATGTTAAACAAATTGCTTCCAGTCAGAGAATGTTGCATATAATTTAATTTTTGCGTGATGTTAAAAGATTAAAACTAATAAAACTAGTTTTAAACTCCCATGGGGCTGAAAATCTGAGACTCTCCATCAGTTGCTCTTAGAATCAAAGAAGCTTCTGGGATGAGGGGTGAAACGACTTCAAGGAAACTTAAAGAAGTCCAGACGTTCTCCTTTCCAAGCTTCTTAGATTACGATGACCTGGATGACTTAAAACCTTCACAGGCATATTTAAATACAGTATTGTTGCTGACCATGTCCATCCCTTATGAACTTATGACTTATGAACCCTGTGTTTATTCAGGCTGTTCTCTTTTTAACATGTTTTAATTCTTTGTATCTTGTTTTATTTAATCTAAACAAGCCCCTAACAAAAAGTCAATGATCACTGTCCACCTCTCTGGGTTTTTATTACCACTATTCATCAGCAGCATGTTTTAAAGCTCAGTTTTTAAAACCGTACAATGTAACTACAGCCAGACATCCAATATTTGATCAGGTCAAAAAAGAATCACTCTGCGGCTAACAAAGATTTGAATGAGTACATGAAGCTGAGGATCATCAATTTTTTAACTTAGCTTTTATTGAGGGGGAAAAAGTTAGTGTTCATCCTCCAGCTTCACTGTGCTAATACGTTTATATTATCCTAACCGTAGCCCTGTAGCTATTAGAGATGGACCGATCCAATATTACGTATCGGTATCGGTCCGATACTGACCTAAATTACTGGATCGGATATCGGAGAAAAAATAAAAAATGTAATCCGATCCATTAAATATCAAAAAAAGCACCTCACAAAACTTGCGACACGGCGTAACGGCAGTATGCGTCACGCGATAGCGCAGCTGTGTGTATTTGTGGCCTCGGAACCAAACCGGCATTTCATCTCCGAGAAAGTTATCTCAGAGAGAATTAAAGCAAGTGTGTAAGTTCATCTCTGAATGTTTGTAAAGCATTCCAGCATTAAGCTTAACAACCAATATATGGAGCGACTGCCTCTTCTCTCTCCCTCCCTCTCCTGCTGCTACTTCAATCGTGAAACTGATTAATGATCAGCTGATCGGCTCTTCTGTCGCGAGTCCGTCTCTCTTGTTTGTTTTATCGCCCACTTCACGCCAGAAAGAGGAAACCAGCGGTTGAACAACAGCAGCACGTTTAAGCTTGATAAGCTGTTGTTAGAATGTATTTAATATTACTTTCTAAATGGTAAATTATAGAAAGTAATACTTTCTACACCAGGATCCTCTTCTACGTAGCTGACGGCTGGTAACTGTGCAGGGGCGGATCTAGCAAAGTTTAGCCAGGGGGGCCGATAGGGCATTAACAGGGAAAAGGGGGGCACAAAGACATACTTTTCTTTCTTATTCTCATTCAAAATGTCTAGCTTTTAATAAATAATTATCTGAGTCTTACACCCAAAGTTTTAATCTGATGTAAAATGTATAGAAGTACATTACTGTATATAGTAACTATTAAGTCTAATATATACCCTAGTAAGCTAGTACTTTTTCCTTTGGGAAGGTACAATCTGTGCAGTCTGCAGTTCTGTTGAAGAAAGATGTTGAATCTATTTAATTATTCTTGAAAAATAATTGATTTCTGTGCATTTTTTTTCACACTTTATCAAATTTAAATTGATTACGTCGATTAAGCATCATAAGGTGGGGGGTGGTTCCCTATTTTTTTTTTTTGCTAGGAGTTTGCAACCCTATTAGTTAGGTTGCTTACTCTTTAAAATACCAGAATAGGGAGGATGGAGTAGGTTTAAGTTTATTAGATTGATCAGTATTGCTGAACTATGAAATATTTTGGGTGCAGTGTATTTTTTACAACAAGTATAACAGAATAGCTTTAGTTTTTTGTTTTAAACTTGAGTATGAACTTGTACAAAATGCAGCAAGATATTAAAAAAAACTGTTTTATTGATTAAAAAACACACTATATCGGATTCATATCGGTATCGGCTGATATCCAAATTTATGATATCGGTATCGGTATCGGACATAAAAAAGTGCTATTGTGCCATCTCTAGTAGCTATCCACCACATAGCACACCATTACATTCCAGCTAGCCCACCCAACTTCAGTAATCCTTCAAATGTTGCTGCAGTTTGATTTTCTGTCTTCATTTATGTCCAAAGTGATATCAGAGCTCTACCTTTTCATTTTTCCGAAATCGCTGTCAGAACTTGACGAATGTTTCTAATGTAAGGTTTAAATGTAGTTTTACTGCATCTTTAAATCAAATCAAATCAAATCACTTTTATTGTCACATCAGGTGCAGGTACACTGGTACAGTACATGTGAGTGAAATTCTTGTGTGCGAGCTTCACAAGCAACAGAGGTGTGCAAAGTACAATAACATAAGAACAAGCAAATATAAGAATGGCTAAATCTGAGAATTATATGAATAAATATATGTACAATATAAGAGTGTATGCATATTACTGAATGTGTATACTAAATATTAGGGGTGCAACGATACAACAAAATTCACGGTT